GTCGTTGGGTAAAATAAAGGGGTTCACATGGTCGCTTGGAAGAAAAAGAAATGTTGTCCGATTAGAAGACTTTATCATATGTGTTGCCGAGATCAAGAGAAATTTTTGTGGAATTGGAGGTGATCCTAAATAATGATTACGGAACTGCTGTGATCGCGGGATTCATTTGTATGTTGAAACAATTGTAGGAGATATCCAAAATCAGATATCCAAAATCTTGAAAAATCATGGTGGATGTTATTGCAATCAGGGAAAGCACCACGGTTGTTGCCGCAAGTGTTATAGAATAGAGTAAAGCTTTCCAAGTTTTTGCATTCTGCCTTATTTACTGTACCTTGATTAATTAATGTTAGTTATTTTAAAACGTTTTTATTAGCTCGCTTTCTTGTCCGGCACAAATTTTGCAATCATTATTATACTAACTTCCCAATGAGCTAGAGACTTGAAACATAGCCCACAAATGGATGAGAATGCAATATTATATAATGTAATTTTCATATTTCCCTTGGGCTACGCCCCATGGGCTTGTCCAGTACAAGTTTTACAATCAATTTTATACTAACTTCCTGATGAGCTAGAGACTTGAAACTTAAAACATAGCTCACAAATGGATGACAATGCAATATTATATCATTTAATTTTCATATTTCCCTTGGGCTACGCCCCATGGGCTTCCAAATTTTTCATGCTTACATTTTGAGAGAATGTAAATATAGGCTATCAATAAATTTAAGTCAGCTGTAAATACTTAAATTTGACAATTAGAAGAGCAGGGGTTAAGAGGTACAGGTTCTGCTTCAGAGATATTCTAAAAATATAAAACAATCATTTTAAAGTAAAAATAAAACATCTGGTTACAGATAATAAGGTTTTGGTTGTATTAACAGGCCATATAAAATGCAGCATACTGATTTTCTAACTGGTTTAAATGTTATTTCACCATTACAATGCTTATAATAGTTAAAATCATGTAAGACACATAATATTGTGTATATAATCGTATATTCGTACTGAGGGCCACATTGGCAAATTTGCCTGGGGCCCCTGAAGCCCTAAGTCCGGGCCTGTCTGACATTAGCAAGCAAACACAGGAAAAATACCAATACAAAGAATATGTAATGTCCACTTCTTTACTAATGAAACTTGTTATAGATGTTGATAGTTCTGTGCGAAATTGATGAAATAGTTGTATTTTGTATTATATCTATATAAACAATTGATTTATTTATTGCTTTATTAAAAACCACGAAATGTGATCCACTCAACTGGCTTTCACTGCTATGAAAGCAATCGTAGTTAAATATCAATACACAGTGTACTTCGCTCACTGCAGACATAACATGTTGACTTACACCAATGCTCATGTGGGATAAAAAGTCCCCTCACAGTAATACCTCACTGACTTTTATCACATAAAGCATCTACCATTACGAAACTGGCACTACAGTAGAGAGTCGAAAATCCAAAACGTCAAAAATCTGAACCGCTTTTTAGGGTTTTAAAATATTGAATTAGCACAGAGACAACAGATGTTTTACATTTACAATTTCGCGGGCCAAACAGTTGGCGCCTGGCGGGAAAACAAGTGAAAGGGCCAAGTCAGTCAGTGTTTCGTTTGTTTCCAATGTATTAACTCTACAAAATTTTTCAAGAAACAAATTACAGTAATGTACCGAACATATTTTAGTACAAAAACCAGTTTTTATTTCAGTTCAGTGCTGTGATTTTCCTAGAACTGTATTTTTAATGTTGTAGGCCTGATATGTGTCTAGCATTTCTAGGTTATGTTTGAAAATCCGAACATATCAGTAATCTGAACTACCTACTGTGCCAATTGGTTCGCATTTTTGACGCTCTACTATATTACTTATAGACTTCTAGGTCATCAGTGAACAATCAGACTGGAAGGTAATCAGGGGTAGGAAGCACTGGGCACTTTTTTGCCTAATTTCTCTCACATTCAAAATGTGCCTGGGGAAACTTTAACCCAGTGTTGGCATACTGGGGTTATTATACTAACTTCCCAATGAGCTAGCGGCTTGAAACATAGCTCACAAATGGAAGACAATGCAATGTTATATCATTTAATTTTCATACTTCCCTTGGGCTACGCCCCATGGGCTTGTTTTTATTAACTCGCTTTCTTGCAAATTTTGATACTTCCCAATGAGCTAGAGACTTGAAATTTGAAACATAGCTCACAAATGGATGACAATGCAAAATTATATAATTTAATTTTCATATTTCCCTTGGGCTACGCCCCATAGGGTTCCAAATTTTCCATGTTTACATTTTGAAAGAATGTAAATATACAGAGTGGCTGGTCATCAGTGTTACAAAATTTTTTTGGCGTAAGTACAAAGTAAATGCAGTGTAATGATGCATATAAAAGGTTCCAAGTCCAAAAATTAGCTTCCCAAAGAATTATTTTATGTTTTTCAAAAATAACTATGTTTTCAAACTTAATACAGCTATTTCTCAATTACCGGTAAATGGATTTGAGTAGACAATGTCATTTTCGTGTTCTACATTAAATTTTGAATAAGAATAATAGAAAATGATGGAGGATCAGTTGTAAAAACCCCATTGTAAATAGATTCAAAGATAAAAATTAAGATGTTTCATAAAAATTTAAAAAACATTGGTCTATTTTGTTCACACCCTGTATACAAGAAAGTGGCCGATTATGTTAAAAACTGCGCCATTTTATAAGCTTTCTAACCATATGCTACACTATTGAGGTTTAGATATTCTGTTGTTTGTTTTAGTGGTTTGAATACCAGAAAACAGGGTGTCTTTAACATTTAAAACATAGAAATCCGGCATGTATTAAGCAAAAGTTGTATTTTTGTTTCAGCTTGAACAGTAAAAACAGTAAAAAAGTTCCCTGTTTTCTGGTATTCAAACCACTAAAACAAACAACAGAATATCTAAACCTCAATAGTGTAGCATATGGTTAGAAAGCTTATAAAATGGCGCAGTTTTTAACATAATCGGCCACTTTCTTGTATACAGGGTGTGAACAAATACAATAGACCAATGTTTTTTAAATTTTTATGAAACATCTTAATTTTTATCTTTGAATCTAATTACAATGGGGTTTTTACAACTGATCCTCCGTCATTTTCTATTATTCTTATTCAAAATTTAATGTAGAACACGAAAATGACATTGTCTACTCAAATCCATTTACCGGTAATTGAGAAATAGCTGTATTAAGTTTGAAAACATAGTTATTTTTGAAAAACATAAAATAATTCTTTGGGAAGCTAATTTTTGGGCTTGGAACCTTTTATATGCATCATTACACTGCATTTACTTTGTACTTACGCCAAAAAAATTTTGTAACACTGATGACCAGCCACCCTGTATATCAATTAATTTAAGACAGCTGTAAATACTAAAATTTGACAGTTCGAAGAGCAGAGGTTAAGAGGTAAGGGTTATGCTCCCAAGAGATTCTTTATACAAACAAACATTTAAAAATAAAGATAAACAATCTGATTGCAGATATAAAGGTGTTTGTTAAAAATGTCAATTGTTATTTATTTAATATTCTATAAAGTAAACAATAAATTAAATAGATTGATATATTTATAGTTAGTAGGTAGGCCATACATTCAATCTAATACATAATTATATGAAAAGAAACTCAAATAAACCTTAGATTTCCCACATGCCTCTGTCTTAGACTGGGACGGGTGGCGTCGTCCTGTAATCCAGTTACTAGGAGGTCACGAATTGTGGATATTTATAGGCAAGAACTGTGGATGCGATACTCCCTTGTGTGGATTAACGTCCGCACAAGTGAGTACTACGACTATCCGCAGTATTATCCTGATAATTGGACCAATTTGTATATACCAAGGAAAAATTTAATTCGGATTCCACTATAAACTGTAGGTCCCTTAGTTGCCATTAGCTGTTTGGGCTATTAATTTACAGCTGTGTCTAAGGAATATGTCGGCCTTAGTCACTAACTAGACTACAAGATCGTGCCACTCATTCTACACTCATCTCCATTCATACTTGGCTTAAAATACCTACTATGTATGGTCGCCATTTCAATGAACAGTATGAACAGTATAGATACTTGAAATAGATTTAACATCCACACACATTAAAAACTAAAAAGTAGAAAATAATTTATAGATAAAAATCTTTCTTAAAACAAAACGTTTTTAAACGCACTAAAAAGTAGAAAATAATTTATAAATATGTGTAGAGTATAAGTGCTTGTAACATTTAAAACGAATAACGTGAGGTGCATGTAATTGATAATAATACATTAGTTCAATAGGTGAAGGTAATTGTAAGTTATCTATTGCATGCACCCCACGTTTTTCTTTTTTAAATCTTACAAGTATTTATACTCTCCACATATTTATAAATTATTTTCTTCTTTTTAGTGCGTTTAAAAACGTTTTGTTTTAAAAAAGTTTTTTTATCTATAAATTATTTTCATATACAGAAAAATACTCTTATTGTACACAGGTGGCCGGACTCACTTAGCTATCAGTGTTTGTCCGTATGTGGAACTACTTCCTTGACAGCCATCAGTATTTGTATGCAAACTTCTTTGAAATATCTAGGAACAACTTATACTCAAGGTGGCTTTAGTAAAAATGGGCCCAGAGGCGCATGAGATTAAAAGGTTAGTTGAGAGTAAAATAAAGAAGCAAATTTGATCAAACTGTGCCTTGCAAACGAAAAGCTTGAGTATAACTGCAATAAGCATTTATATTTATATGCCAATCCCGTACGAAGGACGGTTACTCTGCTAGTATAACATTAATACTAACATAATACCTGTGTTGATGTTTAATTAATTCATTGACTTTTTAACTTCTTGATAACATTGAGCCCCAGCTTAGGCATGGCTGTATGCAGAAGCTCACAACTTCACTTCTAATTTTAAACTTCATACTGGCTCATCTACAGTTCCAAACTGCATCCTGTAGTTAACCAGGGGACCTTTTCTATTTATTGTATTTTCACAGGAGAGAACGCCAACTGCATCCTCTTGGCTGCTACCTGTCGAACCAGAGGTAGAAATTGAGGAACTTGACAAATCTTGGGAGATTTGTGAGGAGGAGGTAATGATTTTGGTTTTTAACAAGTAACTAAAGTTTAAAAACAAAGTGTTTTGAATACTGAAATATACATCCAATTTAAATAAACCAACTAGAGCCAGTTGTATTATTTAAATAGAAGGTATTATCATAGATAAAACATATTCCTAGATTTCTCATCCGTATGGAACAGCTGAAGACAATTTTATTGTTAGTTCTGTACGGCTTATGTAGAGATCGTGTTTTGTTTACAATTTGTTTCCCGTTATTACAGTCATTTAAAACCTTGTTTAACCAAATAATACGATCTAATCATAAACAATAACTTGTCCCCTAGTTATATAACCAAACAGTAAAGCACAAATGAAGAAATTAACCCTAAAATAATAGAAACAAAATTTCGTTGACACTAGCGCCCAGTGTCACCGTACATGAACTAAACACGAAAAACGTGCTTCAAAATTTACAATGGGATGAGAAGTCTACTTGTGTGTTGGTTAGTCTATGGTATTATCATGTTAAGATGGTACTTAGGATGTGACGCTACTTTTAATTAGTCTTAGTTTTAGAAAATGTTCCTTTTAGGAAATAAGCTATTAGCCTACTGTAGGTCTCATGTTAAGACTTAGACCCAAGACCGATTTACTTTTATGTTTTAATGTCCCCAGAGCCCAAAAACCCCATCTGCTCAAATTCACATAGCCTATATAAAACCATATATATTTGTGTTTGGGTTTGTGTGTGTCCGTTAGCACGTTAACACCATAAAATATCGTCCAATTAAAAAAATATATAAACAATTTGTAAACTTACATTTATTCCAACAACGATTGACAATGGGAACAATATTTGAAGGAGGGGAGAGTTATTAGTTAATATTTTTTTCTTTACCTTTAACCCACAAAAAACATTTTTTAAATTTCAAAACATACAGTTTTGTAGAGTTAAAAAAATATTTTCGTATAGACCTAAACTGAAGCGATGTTTTACTTGTCTGGAATTTCCCGTGAAAGGAATGAAAGAATTTTGACAACTGTTCCTACCAACAGGGTGTGGCCCCATTATTTTTTTGTTTGAATTTATGAAAGAGTAGGATTTTTTACAGTTATATGTGTTTTTGTTTTTAATGTAATAAATAATTTGTGATATTGTGTGAATAGGGCTATTTGTGATAGTGTATAATTCATCAACTTATCGACTTTGTTTACGAGTTATTTAAATTTTTATACAGCAGATCTATAGAACATAATTATTCTCTTTAGCTTTCTCTTCCCATTGCAATGCTCGGGTATGGCGGCTAGTAAAAATATATTTAGGCCTAAGTCGGATTACCCGAGGTCTTGGATAACCAGGGCTCGGATGATCAAGAGTATACTGTAACAGATTTAAATCGCATTCGTTTTGAGTACTTAGTTTTCCTACTACAATTTAATTTATCTGAGCACGCACAGATTTGCCATCAAGCATCATCATTCATTTATCTATTGTATTACTCAACCAAAAAACATAAATTCAGTTTCTTTCCAAATTCTTACTTCAATTAAAGATTTATTTCACCAGTTATATAGTCCATCCCTTTGGCTATGATACCCAGCGGATTAGGAGCCTTCTCGGAACTCGACTGACCCTTCAGACCCGCTCCCCAGGCTGGCCGCCGTTGATAAAAAGTTTACCTACCTACTGTCATAGTCCCACAGATCTGTACCTTTTTTTATCTTAAGTTAAAATAAATTGTGTTTTGTATATTTGAGTTCTACATGAAATTCCAAAAATAATGAGTCCAAAAACTATGTAACTACGATCTGAAAGTCGGACAAAGCTGGTGACGATTCAGAGTAATTGTACTACGGCCGTGACTACTTTCAGATCGTAGATATTAAGTATCCACATCGTGTTTGGGCTCATTATTTTTGGAGTTTCATGTAGAACTCAAAATTATAAAGACAAATTATTTTAACTTAAAACAAAAAAAGTTACAGATCTGTGGGACTGTGACAGTGGGTGAGTCACTGTTTGTCTCCGGCCAGCTCGACGAGCGGGTCGAGAGGGTGAGTTGAGTTCCGAGAAGGTCCCTAATCAGCTGGGTATCGTAGCCAAACGGGCGGACTATAATTACATTATCCTATATGTTTTGTCTAAGAACCTTTAGTGAAATACCACCTTTTATGTTAGCTATTGATTATAAGATTGAATTCAACTATAATATTTTTTAATGTGCAGTTGCACATGGGTTCCCTCTTGTTTAAATAAAAATTCCAATCAGTGAAATGGAAATTTGCTTAGTCTGGAGGTTTCCTGCGGTATGAACATTTTTGTACTAAAATAGAAGATAGGATTATAATAGATGACTTACATTTTACAAATAAACCGTAAACAACATAAAGATCATTAACATACTTCTTTTAAAATTATAATTAATTTATTGTCTGTAGCCTTTAAATTTCTATTAATGTGCTTTTAAAATGTCTTAAGTTAAACAAGTTTAATTAAAAATGTTTTTGTCCTAGATGATGGAGGGCTCAAGCGAACCTGAAGAAAAAAGTGGTTTTCAAGCAGTTCGGGAATTAGAATCTGAATTAATAGACAAAATGTGTGAAATTTGCGGAAATTTTTTCAAAACTTTTGAGTTAGTCAATCCCGAGGCAAGAAAACCTCTTCTGTCTACTTGTGAGACATGTTCATATTACATTACTCCTCCAGTCACCTGTATATACAGCAAGAACATTTTGAACGATTATTCTTGCGACAAGTGTTCTCAAGTATTTGAATTTAAAAATGACTGGTTAAGGCACAAAGCCACACATAACAATTCAAAACAGTTTTCCTGTGATATGTGTGACGACTCCTTTAAGAAACGATACGAATTGACTGAACACATAAAACTTGCCCACTTAAAAGAAGACAAGTGTGTAAAAGATAGGTGTATTGCTTGTGGAACATTTGAAAACATCATACAGCTAAATGTCGGAGAAAATGAAGCGGAGTTTATAAAACTTTGTGAAGTTTGCAATATTTCCAGGCAAGAAAAACTAGCAAACATAAGTCGAAATGGATCTAATGGTTTTTCATGTGATTTGTGTTTTAAACAATTTTCTCGAAGGGATCATGCATTGCGTCATCGACTTTCGCATCTAAATGTGAAACCATTTAAATGTTCTATTTGTCAAAAATCGTTCAGCCGAAATGATCGGCTGCAGCGTCACAGGAGGACTCATCCCGGTGCCAAGCCTTACCCGTGTAGATTTTGCTCAGAGGCGTTTATTAATTGTGATGAATTAAAAGGTCACGTCATGCTGAAACATGAAACACTAAATGCAAAGGTAGTTAGTGTGCAAAAACTAAATGCAAAGGTGGTTGATGGTATGCAAAAACAGCAAACGCCACTCAAGGACAGAACATCACGACTCTGTGTTTGTTTGTGTGGGAAAAAATTCAAACAAAATAAAGCATTGCTTGTTCACCAGAAAAAATGCTGTGATCTAAACTACATTAAGTGTAAGACATGTGGGAAAAAGTTTAAAAACAAGGAAATCCTCAATCGCCATGCTCTAATTCATACCAGCGCTAAAGCGTACAGTTGTACCATATGTAGCAAGGTATTTTTGCGAAAAGATAAATTGAAAACTCACCATTTGATCCATATTGACATAAAACCTTACTCGTGTCATATTTGTAACAGCTCGTTTAAACGTAAAGACAAACTAAGTCGTCACCTAAGAGAAGTGCATTTTAAGATGAAAGAGTGAAATGAGGTCTAAATTGTCTGTTCACTATTATTTAAAAAATGTAGTGCTAACTTTGACAAGGTAAATTTATTAAGAGTATTAGCTATTAGGTGCTCATTACCAAATCCTTTTCTTACTTAAAGAAGGTTCTTATTCTTATCTTACATTTCCTTATTGATTTTATTTTTTATAAATGTTTTTCTTAAGCTACAAACTAAGTCATCGCCTAAGAGAAGTACATTTTAAGATGAAAGAGTGAAATGAGGTCTAAATTGTCTGTTCACTATTATTTTAAAAAATGTAGTGCTAACTTTATTTACTAAGAGTATTAGCTATTAGGTGCTCATTACCAAATCCCTTTCTTACTTAAAAAAGGTTCATCTTATCTTAAATTTCCTTGTTGATTTTATTTTTTATTAAGCCTTGGACGAGTCCAGTAGAGCAGGGTAATTACGGGGCAGGTTACTTGCTTCTAATGTATTTCAAGTTACCTGAGGCAAGTAATCTGCCCGTCTACTGGTCTCGTGTTAGGTAGGTGAAAGATAAGCCTAAGAGCCAATAATAAAAATTTTGATTTGTTTATTCTTAGCTTACTGTGTTTGTACAAGATATTTCAGCCTGTTTATGCAGGTGAAAACATTTACTTTACAAAAATTTAATTACCTTCCATCGTTATTATTGTACTATAACTTGGTGTAACCAATGAACCAAAATCACGTCTCTAGGCTTTATTACAAAATATTGACAAAAGTGGAGTCTTATTGGTAAACAAGGGGGTTTTAAAAATTTACAGTAGAACCCCTGATATTTGGCCACTTTTCGGAAGTCAATCATCAAAACATGTTTCCTTTTGTACTGGCAGGTGTATACACTAACTACTGTCTGCTCGCAACTCGAGTGTTCTCACAAATTATTTGTTTGTTTACATTCTACTGTTTTCATTATTGTGTTGGGCAAGTAGATCTAATACCTCTAAACAGTTGGTTGATTATTTCCAGTGTGGTTAGTACAGTAGCAAGAAAGTGGTTAGTAGGCCCCACTAGAAAAACAGGCCATGCTGCAGCGCAACACTACGTAAACAACCAGCTTATTTACCGAAAACATATGGGATATGGCAGTGAATCTATCCACAAGTGTGACTTCATGGATCCTGCAGCACAGTGGCGGATCAAAGGGGGGCAAAAGGGCTATTGCATTCCCCCTTTGGTTATTAAATCTAGTTAAAATACTTTAAATTGCAACAAATTATCATGTTTATGTGTCTAGATTTTCTTAGTCTAAAATCACGAGTTTTCAATTCAAATTTTCCAAAATTTTCCATGGGTGGGCTTTGGACCCTTCCTTTACTACATACCCCCTAGACCCCCCCCCCCCCGAAATCATGCCCTGAATCCGCCACTGCTGCAGCATGGCCTGTTTTTCTAGTGGGACCTTGAAAGTACCTACATTACTATAAGTGGCAAAAGAAACAGTACTGAAAATGAATAAAATATGATGATTTCAGTACCATTAGCACTAAATACTATTATTTCTGTTATTTTAGCATAATATACAGTAATTATTTTGTTTGGTATAAAATATAAAAGAATGCTAAGCAGTCAATTACAGACTATTTTAAGACATAATAGTCTTTAAACACAAAACTTATTGTGGATAATTTAATTTTCACTTTTTATCTTTATTAAATATTTGTTTTTGTTACGGTACCTGAACAGATTTTTTTAAATGTTGATTATCTATCTACTCAGACCTGATTTTTCCTATGGATAAATATTTTCATTGATTTTACAAACATGTGTATTTTTCTAAACATCACAAAATATATTTCAAAAATATAAAAAATATTAGTAAGATTCACAGTTAAGTATATCTTTATTTTTGTATAGATTTTATCATTACTACATGTTTTTTTGGAGCTAAAGGCCGGCGCACATAGAGACAGTCGGATGGACTAAAATTTGCTCCCCATGTTATCAAATGTGGCAACGTACACAGGAATCGGTCCGTCGGCCGGTGTCCGTTGAGTTCGCAGACAGACTTTTTGGAATCGCCTCTCGGTGATTTTGAAGAACCCTGCTGCAGACTTTTTCTGCTGCGCATGTGCACAAAGGTTTTTCTCAACGTTGCATCTTGGCATTGCCACTAGATGCGCTGTGGCTTGTTTACTCAGGGTGTTCAGCTAACCTTGAGACCGTTCCGTTTCAAAACGTAAAAAATGCCACTGGTGTTAAAACACACAAAATAAATTTTAAAAATAAAAATTGTACGTACATTTTTATGACCAGGGAAAAATCCGTGAATTTTGTAAAGAACGGGGAAAAATAAATATGTGAATGGTAGCAAAAAAATCTGCCCAAGATTACCGATTTTTCTCTTTTTGCGTAGTTAAAAATTGCGATCGCAAGGGAGACTACAGCGTTGTCATGATTGCAAGAAATTATCACGACCGTTTCCATGATCAAGGTAAATCATCACAAAATTTCGCTGCAAACACAAACATAGTCAAGGGTGGTGAGATGTGTTTATGTTACCGTAATCGCAAGAAGTAATCAAGTGTGTGGCTGCGATCGCCAAAATTTGTCCCGAGAATTGGTTGTAATATACAAGCAGGTTTAATAAGTAAGTTTGGCTTTTTGCAAGTTTTGTCCTGGAAATTTTTAATCTGGAATTTTCCTTGAATTTTATTTTTATGGGACGCTAGAAACCCTGTAATTACAACTACTTGTGAGGGATTGTCATCCTGTTCAACACGTGGTTCCGTTTCTTCGGTTAGTTTTTGCAAACAATTTTTTTAATCATTGCTACCCCTCATTTCACAGCACCGAAGAAGTGAAAGCACGAGGTGAAGGAGGGAAAGGATAATCCGTCTTCTTGCGGACTCCTACAGCTGAGTGCGTTAAAAAAATACCCCCAACACAGCAAACCTGCAGACTAAGCGAATATCCATTTGCCTGAATTGATATACAATTAAATCTATTTAAATAACATTATGTTAAACGGGTACCTAGGTTTGCTGCTACAGGGAGGCTAGTAAAGTATGTTTTTAGTGAAATATTAATAGTTTAGTATAAAATAAATAAATTTGACAAGTATGATCAAAATATATCCATAAACAAGCAAACTACAACATTTTACAATATTCTCCATAAGAATAACATGAGAATTTTAAATTTACAATTTTTTGAATGTTCTCCGTAACCAATAACTGCACATAAAAACCTATATACTAAATTAATTGTCTTTTAAGATCTTTAAAATGGTCCAGAGATAAATTGTGAAATTTTGTGTTTTGATGGTCACAAATGAGAAAAAACCATTTGTACCCCATAAAACGTAAAACAACAATCCCATCGTCCGATCATGCTGGTTCACGAACTCATCCAAGTTTATCCCGCCTTACACCTTCAAACCAAATTTCATCAAAATTGGACTAAAATTACTCAAGTTATTTTGTTCACTGACATATATAGATATATATAATATAAAAATTTGAACGATTAGTGTTTTTGACCTCTGGGGACATCAAAATGAAAAAGTAAATCAGTCCTGGGCTCAAGCCTTACCATGAGACCTACGGTAAGGCCCCGGGTACGATACGAGCGGCGAGCGGCGAGCGGTGAGCGGCGCCGCTCTGACATCGGGTCTCATTTAGTTGCGTGTAAATTTGTTGAGGTTGGCCACGATACGTCTGAGCGGCGAGCGGCGGTGAGCGGCACCGCTCAGCGCCGCTCATGGTTCCAAGTCAAAACCGATTTTCGCGAAAACGCCGCTCGCCGCTCAGGTGATTCATGCTTCAGTTCGGCCTAAAATGACAGGGAAACAGCAGAAAACATGCGATACTGGTCGATACGTGAGGTGCAGTCCAGGGAATGTTTATGTAATGACCAGCACGGAAGTTTTAAAACACTTCAGTCCCCAGAAAAGTATGGGAAAAAATTATGGTTAAGGTTTTTCAAAAAACTAAGTTTTTCTTTAAAGGCAAACAATTGTCAGATATCAACCGAAGTTGCAATACGTCTTGCAGGTAAGCATAGTTTACCATTTTATACTGAACTAACTCATAAAACTTGGGAAATTTCATGAGCGTTATAAAAGTGCCGCTTGTATCGTAGCCACCACCGCCGCTTACGTGCCGCTCAGGTTGCCGCTCGCCGCTTGCCGCTCACCGCTCGCCGCTCGTATCGTACCCGAGGCCTAATAGCTACTTCCCTATAGGGAAATTCGCTAAAACCCATCCACCTGCAGGAGTCCGTCTGTCTTTGTGGTGTGCACTTGCCTTTATCGCTCTAATTTTGTTATGTATAAAGATTTATGGTATGATTGTAAATTGTATGTACAGTACTGTAATGTATTATTCAAAGTTCTGTTGTGTTTCTAGTCATTGTACACTGTTCTTTATGTAAATACTGTTTAATGATGATTTAGATTTAAATTGTAATTTTTATACTGACTGTTGTTAATAAATGTTTCATGTGACATCAAATTATTTCCAATAGCCTAAAAATCATGTTATTTATAACAATAATACAGGTGAATGCAGTCATAGACTAACCAACACAAGCAGACTTCCCAACCCATTGTAAATTTTGAAGCTCGTTTTTCGTGTCTCTAGTTCATGTATGGTGACATGTCGACGGAATTTGGTTTATATTATTTTGGAGTTAATTAAATGAATTTGGCTTTAATGTTTGGTTATATAACTAGAGGATGAGTTCTTGTTTATGATTATATCATTTTATTTGGTTAAACAGTGTTTAAAATTATATTTTCAAGCAATACAATCAAATTTTATGTAAACGGTTAAGGCCATTTACCAAATAAAAATACAGTAATATGGCACATCAACAAAATGAAGCTCTCAGTGTGTAGATTTGCCAAAAATTATAGGTAGGCCTATTAGTCCAGGCGCTAAACGGGTTGAGTATGCACTGAAAGTCTGACAAAATTTGACTTTTGATTATTGTTGGGGACATGTAGTAGATGAAAAAAATCGATGATGTCGCATTTCTAGGGTGGTCACAACTCGTGGGGGGGAGGGGGGGAAGTTGCGCGGGTCATCGGTTTCCGTTTCCGCGTCTAACTCACAAACGGTTAATGATAGAAAGGTGGTTTAAGCGTCTATCAACGCCTAAATATATTGTCTT